AGCAGGCGTCAGGGTCGGGATCGAACCCATGGCCTCCTGTACACCAGGCGAGGTAGTTAACATCTCCTAGCCACCGTGATGATGATGATGAGAGAGACACACATACTCCAAATATACAGCAGCAGGCGTCAGGGTCGGGATCGATCTCACGGCCTCCTGTATACCAGGCGAGGTAGTTAACATCTCCTAGCCACTGTGATGATGATGAGAGAGACACACAGACTCCAAATATACAGCAGCAGGCGTCAGGGTCGGGATCGAACCCATGGCCTCCTGTACACCAGGCGAGGTAATTAACATCTCCTAGCCACCGTGATGATGATGATGAGAGAGACACACAGACTCCAAATATACAGCAGCAGGCGTCAGGGTCGGGATCGAACCCACTGCCTCCTGTATACCAGGCGAGGTAGTTAATATCTCCTAGCCACCGTGATGATGATGATGAGAGACACACAGACTCCAAATATACAGCAGCAGGCGTCAGGGTCGGGATCAAACCCACGGCCTCCTGTATACCTGGCGAGGTAGTTAACATCTCCTAGCCACCGTGATGATGATGAGAGAGAGAGACACGCAGACTCCAAATATACAGCAGCAGGCGTCAGGGTCGGGATCGAACCCACGGCCTCCTGTACACCAGGCGAGGTAGTTAACATCTCCTAGCCACCGTGATGATGATGATGATGAGAGAGACACACAGACTCCAAATATACAGCAGCAGGCGTCAGGGTCGGGATCGAACCCACGACCTCCTGTATACCAGGCGAGGTAGTTAACATCTCCTAGCCACCGCGGCACACCGAACGCCGCACTCGGGAGGGTTGTATGACGAGAACCACGCGCGGCCGCCTTTGTCTCTCTCTTTCTCCCCAGTGCTGATGCTTACTCGGCGCATCAGGTAGACTCATCTAAGGCTGAGTCGACCTATGCCAGGTCCTGAACCGACCGGTTCAAATATTCGTCGCCGTGGTGAGCGTGACTCGATCTCGGGGTGACCAGCGGAGTTCGTGGCGGACAGAGCGCTAACCACTGCGCCACCGCTCGCCACACCTCTGAGAAATGCGTGCGCGTGCTCGATTTGCGTAACGTCCCGTCACTCGAATGAGTCAGACGACAACTCTATAGGTGAACACTTACCTTGGTATGCGTGGGGGTTTGTGATGCGACGACGCGTTTGCTCGTCACAACTTAGAGCTACGTGCTAATTATAGCCCGCTGTACGATGTATGCGGTGCGTGAGCCTGATGACTTTCAGGCGTGTATGTGTGCGAGTAGGGTTAGTGTAGCGCAAGGCCGTAATTATAATATATATTGGGGGGGGGGGGCACACCCCCCCCCCTCAATATATTCAAATATGCTCAAATATGTTCAAAATGTCCCCCCCAATATATTGTGATAAAAATAATTGCTATTCTATGTAAATAAAAACAACAATTTGCTAAACCTTGGCCACAATATCTGGACTCGTCTTCATATAAATCAATGCATAGATTGCTGTTCATATGATTGTGGTTATGGTTGTACTTTATTAATCCCTAATCTCTGCCATTACATACAATGAAACAAGAAAAGGTAGAAAATTAAAAACAGAGCAATGTAACACAATACACTATTAGACATTATTGTAAAAACTAAATAAAAAGTCCACCCTATGTGTTAGTGAATTTTAAAATATTTTAGGCAGGAAATATTTTTTTTTACGTAGATATTTTTCTGGGTTGGGACCCCCAGACACCCTGTAAGATTTTGTCCCCCCCAATGTTGACTCCATGGCAACAGCCTTGGTGTAGAGGTTAACTCGGCCTCAAATGAGTACCTGGTGCGGTGTGTAAATCATCGCCAGGAGGGAGACAAAGGCGGCCGGGCATGGTGTTGGCCACCCACCCCCTCGTATGTGCCGTGCCGGCTTTCATAGGTACTGCTCGCTACTCACAGCACTTGCCCCTACAGTCTCTTCAGGTGATACTGGGGTGGATCGTTGTTGTAGCGGTTAGCGCCCTGCGCTACGAACCCGACCTGCCGAGTTAGATCCCGCGCAAGGCCACCACTACGATTGACGATTATCTGAACCTGTCCTGGGCCTCCCCACTAGGTCGACTCAGCCTCAAATGAGTACCTGGTGCGGTGTGTAGTAAACATCACCACTGGGGAGACAAAGGTGGTAGGGCGTGGTGCTGGCCCACCCACCCCTTCGTGTGCCGTGCCGGCCTTCATAGGTGCTGCTCGCGAACAGCACTTGCCCGGACAGTCTGTTAAGGCTTTATGGGGGATCTTTGTCTTTAGCTTCGTGTTAGTTTCTGGGCCAACACCAGTGACGATGATCTGAACCGGTGCTGGGCCTCCCCTAGGTCGACTCAGCCTCAAATGAGTACCTGGTGCGGTGTGTAAAACATCGCCACTGGAGAGACAAAGGCGGTCGGGCGTGGTGCTGGCCACCCACCCCATCGTGTGCCGTGCCGGCCTTCATAGGTGCCGCTCGCTACTCACAGCACTTGCCCCAACAGTCTTCCAGTCAACTCAGTCGACCCACAACACTAGGGCCCGTCCCGTGACCTCCTGCCAGCGAGCTTTCGACCACTTCACGTGTTAAGCCTTCAAGGTGCACCTAGCCTGGCACAAGCATCGCCGTGGTGTTGTACGTGATTGGCTACGTGCGGTGTGAAAGAAGTTCACACATGCGCGCTTCCCGCGATGTGTGAATCCACCCAGCCGTGCAGCAGCCTGCACCTGAAGCCCATGTCATGATCGCTCCATCTCCACGCAGTGCGTAACCTGCAAAACTCCACTCCCGGACGCTTTGGGATTGTTGTTAGCGCGGGTTTATAAATAACTAAATAGATTCTGTCGCCCTGGTAACGCGACGCGCAGGTGAAGCGGATCACGTGCCCAGGTGTGTGGACAACGAGGGTGGGGCGAGGGGTTTCGAGATCTCTGAGACGACCACTCGCCCGCTCACGTGAGCCGTCGCCAGGAATCGAACTCGGAGGAGCGGCAGTGCAGTGCGACAACCACGACTGCAGTAGGGCAAATTCAGTGGGGCAAATTCAGGAGGGCAAATGCAATAGGGCAAATTCAGTAGGGCAATTGCATTCGGGCAAATGCAATAGGGCAAATGCAGTAGTGAAAATTCAGTAGGGCAAATGCAACAGGGGAAATTCAGTAGAGCAAATTCAGTAGGGCAAATGCAATAGGGCAAATTCAGTAGGGCAAATGCAGAACAAAGGAGAGGAAGATCCCCCGTATGTATTTTAAATCTATATGGCTCAGCTATACTATTAAGCTGTATTAGCGAGCACCTATTAAGGTCAACACAGCGCACCACCGCACCATCAAGTGTATATATTAAACACGTGTAACAGCGTAAGACAAAGATCCCCCGCATAGCTTTTAACAGACATGTTGGGGCAAGTGCTGTTAGCACCTATGAAGGCCGGCTCAGCACACGAGTGGGTGGGTGGCCAGCACCACGCCCGGCCGCCTTTGTCTCCCTCGCGGAGATGATTAGGACATCACACCAGGTACTAATTTCAGGCTGAGTTGACCTAGGGGAGGCCCACGACCGGTTCAGATAATCGTGACTGGGTGTTAGCCGCGAGCGGGAATCAAACTCGGGACGTTAGGTTCGTAGCGCAGTGCACTAACCACTGCGCCACCGCTCCCCACACTCACGCACACTCGAACGATAAACACGCACAGTTGCTACTAAATTAACATACAAAGGAAATAAGCACGGTACACACAAAACAGAGACAAAGATCCCCTATATAGCCTCAACAGATTGTTGGGGCAGGTGCTGTTAGCGAGCACCTGTGAAGGTTGGCACGGCACACGAGGGGGTGGGTGGCCAGCGCCACGCCCGGCCGCCTTTGTCTCCCCAGTGGCGATGTCGACATACTTTACCAGCAGGGCCGGATAAAGACGTTGTATGCCCTTGGGTTACAGGTACAGTGAGGCCCCCCACTAATATTTTCAAAAGGAAAACAAAGTACAAGAAAAATAAAATTTATTTTTACAAGGCTGACAACAAATTAAATTCAGCATTCACAAGCGACTTAACTTTTCACTTCATCTCTGGAGGCCCTCCAGCTGACGGAGGCCCCTGGGCTGCAGCCACTAAAGCCCCCACGCCTTAATCCGGCCCTGCTTACCAGGTATTCATTTGAGGCTGAGTCGACCTAGGGGAGGCCCAGGAGCGGTTCAGATAATCGTCACTGGTGTTGGCCGTGAACGGGAATCGAACCTGTATTCGTAGCGCAGCGCGCTAACCGGCACACAGGTACACACTGACACAGAGAACACATAACACACACACAGACACAGCAAAGATACCCACCCATACATACAAAACACACGCACACACACACAACCTGGACAGGTTACACTCCAAACAACCCTCATACAAAACGCAAATACACACGTCAACCCACTCAAGTGCAAAGGAGTAAAATACCTGTACAAACACAACAAAGATAAAGTTCCCCCGTGTAACTATTCAGACTTTTGGGGCATGTGCCTGTAGCGAGCATTCACGACAGACAAAGACAAAGATCCCCCGTATAGCCTTCACATACTCTTGGGGAAAGTGCTGTTAGCGAGCGTCTATGAAGGTCGGCACGGCACACGAGGGAGTTGGTGTGGCCAGAACCACGCCCGGTCGCCTTTGTCTCCCCAGTGGCGATGTTTACACACCGCACCAGGTACTTATTTGAGGCTGAGTCGACGTAGTGGAGGCCCAGGTACCGATTTCGGATAATCGTTACCGGTGTTGGCCGTGAGCGGGAATCGAACTCGGGTCGCCGGGTTCGTAGAGCAGCGCAGCGCTAACCGCTACGCCACCGCTCCCCCCACACAAATCACACCCTTACACACACACATAAGCACACACACACTCAAAAACACACACACACAACACACACACGCTCCACAGTGGGCGGTCCTCCGTGACCCCCTCCTCCTCCCCCCGCTATAAAAGCTCTGAACTCAGCCAGAGCCACAAATATAAAGGCGATAAGTCGGCGGCTGCTGGTGCTGCTGCGTTATACAACGTGGGGGGGGACAGCAAAGCCAGAGCCCAGCAACCAACCAAGGGCGTGGGTGGACAGGTAGACAGGTGGGTGGATACGCAGGTGGGGCCATCGGTGAGGTAGGTTATCAGTGGGGCAGGTAGGTGGGCGATAATTTGCGCAGGTAGGTGCGAGTTGGTGGTGGTGGTGGTCTGGTGGCGCGGTGTTTTTGGTCGGTGCCGAGCGAAGAGGCGAGGTTTGAGTGGATAAATCCGGCATGATCGAGACCCAGGCGAGTGACTGCGTGAAGGAGAAGATGGGGGAGGAGATGACGGGGGAGGGGGAGGAGGATGAAGAGGATGAAGAGGAGGGCGTTGGCTTGAGAAAGGTGAGTGCGCGGATCTGTGGGTGGGTGAGTGAGTGGGCAAACGAGTGGGTAGCTGGGCGAGTGAGCGTGTAAGCGGATGGATGGGTGAGTTAGTGAATACATGGATGGTTTAATGAGCGAGTGAATACATGGATGGTTTAATGAGCGAGTGAATACATGGATGGATTATTGAGTGAGTGAATACATGGATGGATTAATGAGTGAGTGGGTGCATTGATGGGTGAGTGGGTGAATGTATGTGTGAGTGTGTGCACTGGTGGGAGAGTGAGTGAACGGGTGAACGTTTGATTGAATTCGTGAAAAGGTAGCTTGCTGAGTTGACATGCAAGTGGGTGAGTGGGGGAATGCAAGGCCGTAGCCATGGAGTCAACATTGGGGGGGACCAAATCTTCCAGGGGGTCTGGGCGTCCCCCCCCCCCGAAAAAAATATCTAAATTTGAAAACTCATTTCCTGCCTAAAATATAAAAAAATTCACCAACACATGGGATGGACTTTCTATTTATTTTTTACAATATAATAGTGTATTGTATTACATTGCTGTTTTTTCTTTTTTTACCTTTTCTTGTTTCATTGTATGTAATGGCAGAGATTAGGGATTAATAAAGTACAACCACAATAATATGAACAGAAATCTATGCATTGTTATATGAAGACAAGTCCAGATATTGTGGCCAAGGTTTAGCATTTTTTTTTTTATAATTGCGGCCTTGTGTGAATGAATGCGTGGAAGAATGACTAAACGCACAATTGGGTGAACGAGTTATATTTTTTTAATCGGTGACCAAATCCTTAATTAATATTTTCGTAATTAACCGCAGGCTTGTTCGCCGTGACGCCACTGACTCATCACAGTCTAGAGATGTTCGTGATTTGCATAGGAACCTCGACACTAAACTTAAAACTATAAAAAAAAACTAATGTTATACGAGGTGAGGCCCACTGAGCTATTTGGCTGTTTTTCAGAAGCGACGTGCCCACAAATGATCGCTCAACAAAGTGGCTTATCATCACGTGGACATTTATAGCAGCCAAATATTCTTAACGCGTGGATGATGTTGATTCTAAATGTGGAGGGGGGGGGGGGCGGAACCGGAGGACCCGGAGAAAGATCCACGCGACCACGGGGAGAGAAAAATATACGCAAACTCCAAATATACAGCAGCAGGTGTCAGGATCAGGATCGAACCCACGATCTCCTGTATACCAGGCGAGGTAGTTAACATCTCCTAGCCACCGTGATGATGATGAGAGAGACACGCAAACTCCAAATATACAGCAGCAGGTGTCAGGGTCAGGATCGAACCCACGACCTCCTGTATATCAGGCGAGGTAGCTAACATCTCCTAGCCACCGTAATGATGATGAGAGAGAGACACGCAAACTTCAAATATACAGCAGCAGACGTCAGGGTCGGGATCGAACCCACGACCTTCTGCATACCAGGCGATGTAGTTAACATCTCCTAGCCACCGTGATGATGATGAGAGAGAGAGACGCAAACTTCAAATATACAGCAGCAGACGTCAGGGTCGGGATCGAACCCACAACCTTCTGCATACCAGGCGATGTAGTTAACATCTCCTAGCCACCGTGATGATGATGAGAGAGAGCGAGAGAGACGCAAACTTCAAATATACAGCAGCAGAAGTCAGGGTCGGGATCGAACCCACAACCTTCTGCACACCAGGCGATGTTGTTAACATCTCCTAGCCACCGTGGCGCCCCTAACACTGTGTGGACTCATAACCCATAATTTCACGAGCACGTAGACTTTAACCTGCTAACTGGATTTTGTAGGGGTCATCATCGGCCAAAAATCAACAATCCAAGGAGCAATGACATTTGTAACAGCCCACATTAGGCATCGACAACAGTGGGGTAGGCGGGGGAAAGCTACGGGGTGCGAAGGCGGTACAACTGCGTGGGCAGTGCCCACGGGCTAAATGAGATTAAAACAAAACCGGGGGTATCATGGGAAGAAGAAGGGTGAGAAGGATGATCTCACCCTGGCGGAAGAAGGCAGTCACGCGTGTGTGCATGCGTCTCCTTCAGTGGTCGACTCGGCCTCAAATGAGTGCCCGGTGCGGTGGTGTGTAAACATCGCCACTGGTGGAGAGACAAAGGCGGCCGGGCGTGGTTGCTGACCACCTGCCCCCCCCCCCGCTCGTGTGCCGCCGTGCCGGCCTTCGTTAGGTGCTCGCAAACAGCACTTGCTCCGGACAGTCTCCGAAGGAGCTCTGTCTCCGTCGTCGTTATCACACACCTCCGATTAGCACGGTTAGAGGCTACGTACGGTGTGAAAGAAATGTAACACACGGTACAGTGCTGTACATACACACCCATGATGAGGAGCGGTTAGCGTTTTTTCGCTACTAACCCGAGTGCGATTCCCACTCACCAGTGACGCTTATCTGTACCGGTCCTGGGCCACCCCTAGGTCGACTCGGCCTCAAATGGAGTTCCTGGTACGGTGTGTAAAACATCGGCACTCGGGAGACAAAGGCGGCCGGGCGTGGTGCTGGCCACCCCCACCACCCGCAAGTGTTGCTCGCTAACAACACTTGCCACCAATAGTCTGCCGAGGCTATACAGGGGTGGGTCTTTGTCATTACCCAATTGGCTTATATCCCAACATTCTTAAGGCTGGCATTTGTCGAGGATGGCAGCTGCCGCCTCGACGGGACGATCCTGGGGCAAGGCCAGGACGGGTGGCAACCCCCTAAACGCTGGCGGCCGTGGTGGTTTTTACTACGACGTAGGAGGAGGAAAAGGGGAATTTGATGGAGGGGGGAGTGTTGGGACCGTCTCGCATTTCGTTCCAACCGCGCGCCCCGAGTGAGAATGGTAGTACATTGAAAGGCACGACAATAGGCGTTCTGGCGATGGAGCAGATAACGCCAACAGGCGAACGGCACAGAGGTGCAATGCAAGTATCAAATTAGTAATATCTCGGGCTGAGCGGTTGTATCTATGGGACCTTTTTACAAGTATAAAAATTGTGAAAATATAACAATAGGCTTTACCCATTCCGGAAATAAAAAAACAGGAGGTTTTAAGATATATTCTTAGTTATTTCGGTAAAGTCACGTGACTTTACCGAAAGAACTAAGAATATGAATTATTGCAGTCACGAAAGCTTTAAATCAAAGGTTTTAAGATGTTCGATCACCAAATCGATAGCTTATTACAAGACACTTATTATTGTAGTGCGTTTGTTTGCACGTCTCGCCACAAGTATGTGTGGTTAATGCAGACGTGATGCCTTGTAAAAGGTGTCTGTTTGGAGTTCGAACATCTTATCACCTGTTTTATTACCAGAAAGGGTAAACGCCTGTTATTGTTTTCATCATTTTTGATACTGGCAAAAGGTCCCGTAGATGATCCGTCTAAAGTCAGCTCGAGCCTCCCGTAAACCACGTGGCTTCTGTGCACCCCCCCCCCCCCACTCTGAAAACCCCTCTCGCTGCCCCGTGTGAAAACAGACTCCGCTCCGTGCATCAAGCGTCGAGGCCCTGGTGTAGCCTCTTCCTCCTCCACTCTCCTCATCTCTCCTGGACCCCTTCGCTCCCATTCATCATGTCCCCTTTTTTCTTATTTCCCTATCCCTTCTCCTCCGCTTTCCCGTTCCGTTGCTCCGCGCGTTACATCCCCGACTCTCTTTTAATCGCCTTCCCCCCGCGCTATGTGGCCGCTGGCTAAAGATCTGCCGCCGTATAACTTCTGCCCTGGCCTCCGTGTTAAAGTCCAAAACCCGAGCGTCGCTCTAAATCTGGCGGGACACTAGACGCGCGCGCGAGATTTTTTTTTTTACGAGCGTCGCCGTCGTAACCCCCCATCGTTTACGGCCCCCCTCTCGCCCAAGGCCGTCTAAAAGCCGAGGTGGCGGCGGGGAGGGGAAGCCGATTTCTCGCAGAAGACAAATTCGTCGTCGTCGTGGGAGTTGGGATTTGTGGCCTGGGGGATGGTGGTGACCGAGGGGGACCCGTTTCGTAGTTGCGGCCTCGCGCTTTGTTCTCGCCGTCGTCGTTTTGTACTTTTCCTGTTTTTTTGGGTGCCATTTTCTTACTTGTAAGTTACCTTGACCTAAAGCTTTCGTGACTGCAGGAATTCATATTCTTTGGGTCTTTCGGTAAAGCCACGTAGATTGAAAAAATATAAAAAATATGTATATAACGACGTATCGATCGCGACACAATCGTCTTCGGGTGAAGATGATTTTTGTTATTTTTTTCTATCTACGTGGCTTTACCAAAAGATCCTAAGAAAATTTGTTAGTTATCGTTTTTTATTTTGCTTGGTAAGTCTGGCTTTCATTTGCTTGGTGGTGGTGGCTCGATATGAGATTTGGTCCTTGTATATAATTAATATTCAGCGTTATGGGATGCAATTAGCATGAATGATGCTATATATATAAAATGAATGTATTATTGGTTTGATCCCGACCCTTGACGCCTGCTGTATATTTGGAGTTAGCGAGTCTCTCTCCATGGTCACGTGGGTTTTTCTCCAGGTACTCCACATTGAGAATCAACATCACGCGTTCAGAGTGTTGGGCTGCTGTACATTTCCACGTGATAAGCCACTTCGTTGAGCTATCGTTTGTGATGGCCAGGTCTCTTCTGAGAAAGCTACGTAGCTCAGTGGGCCTTCCTTGCCTGGTAAAATAAAATAAAATAGTTGCCTATTATCAAGACAAGTAACAAAATAGCCGAGCGTTGTGTCTCTGTCTTAACGCACGCGTTCTTCACACAACCCACGGGAGGACCCCTCAACCCATCGTGCTGTAACGGGCGAATGTCTGAAAAAGAAAGAGCTTTGTAGCTCAACGGATTCCTCCAGCAGGCCACAATAGCATTCCAGTGCCATCACTTCCGTGCATTCGATGCACCATCAAGCGCTGTGAGATCATTATGAACATTAGCCGTGGTTGGATGAAGGCCTCCCCAAACCGATGCCATCGCTTAATGGTACTGCGATTGTAGTCCACATTCTGCCCTAA